CTGACCGGTTTTGATGTGCCCTTGCAGGGCGTGCAGAATGCATTGGAAGCGGCAGCCGAAGGCAATCGAAACACGCGTGCGATACCGAAGAGCTAGAAATCGGGACAAGAACGCCGCCTTGCCAGCGCGAAGGCGACAGGGCTGGGAGAGGGGAACGAGGGAGGGGAGAAGTGGGGAGGCAGAGTCGGCCTTCCACCAAGACGAGCACAACGTGACAACAGGGATGCCAACCGAACGAGCAGTTCAGTCTCCGCTGTCGGGCGGGAGTGGAACTCAAGGAACTCGTCACTCGTGCCTCCCTGTATTAGATTGTGAGCCGTGCCCGATTTGGCATTCGCTGACGGCTACGTCTCCACTTCCTGTTCTCTTCCTCACTCCCTCCTCCCGCACCACTTTACTTTCTCCTTCTCCTCCTCCCATTCGGACTCGAAGGAGTAAGAGGAGGAGGAGGAAGGATGAATAGAGAAGGGACGAGACATTCAGCAGAAAGGAATGAGCCAAGAGACGGGCAGGGAGCAAGACTATCAGTGAGGTCAAGTGGGTAGGAGAAGGAGGAGGTCCGTGCCAACCTCCAGATCTGGCTGTCTGTTTCTGCCACCCCTCTTCCTGCTCCTCCTGGTCATCCTCCTCCTCCTGCTCCTCCTCCTCCTCCTGCTCCTCCTCCTCCTCCTCCTCCTCCTCCTCCTCCTCCTCCTCCTCTTCCTCCTAGCCGTTCTGGCCTGGCCGCGCGCGCGCGGGCTAGGCTTGCAAGCGCGTGCTTCAGAGCGGCTCGCGCTTGCGGGCCAATCTACCTCTTTCACGATCAGGCCATCGGCGGGGGGCTCCCGCGGATGGCGCCGCCGCGCGATGTCCTCCCTGGGCCGCACACACCTCTGTGGGTCTGTGGGGGTGCCGCTGCGGCTGTGCGGACAACTGGGCGTCGCGCATCGCCTGCCGCCAGTGCGGGGCGGCAGCACCGTCCCGCATCGTCTCCTCTGCGAAGAAGGCGGCGGCTGCGGCAGGCCAGCGTCCTCAAGGTGGAGACCCTCGGGGGGCACAAGGGCGTTGGGCTGCAGGGCCGCCTGGCACCCAAGCAGCGCTCACCAAGACCATCAAGTAGCTCCAAGAGCAGGTCGCTCGCCTGGACGCGTGCGTTGGGCTGGAAGGTGGAGAACATGCGCGCCAAGATTGGCAAGATGGAGTCTCGGGCCGAGGCCCTTCGGCTTCAAAAGCAGGAGCTGGAGCTCGAGCTTGAAGGGCTGTCTGGCACGCTGGAGAGCGCCAAAGCCGACCTTGGCAAAGCCGAGGCGCAGCTCTTCAAGGCCCAGGCCGCGGAGCACGGAGGCCCGCTCAAGACCGTCGCCGCCACCTTGGACACCAGCGTCACGGAGTCCGAGGCTGGCAAGGACGCCCTCGCCGTGCTCGCGAGGCTTCAGGAAGAAGCCATGGAGGCAAAGCGTGCTGAAGAAGCTCCTCGTGCTGCTCCTCCTGGAGGTCCTCGTGATGGGTCTCCTGACGATGGAGGCGTTGAGGTCCCAGCCACCGACGGCGACCCCGACGACATCGACATGGACCTTCTGTCGGGGGAAGACTTTGGCGAGCGTCAGGCCGCCATGGCCACGGCCGCTGAGGAGCTCCGCGCTGCTGCAGCAAGCCCGTCTGAACAGCTCGAGGCGGCCAAGCGCAAGTACCGCGAGGCTGCCGCCAACCTGGGGGTCAAGCGGGCTCGGCGCAATCCACAGGCGACCCTTTAGCACTGTGAGCCAGTTCTCAGCCAGGAATGCCTCGACACTTGGCTCGGCGAGCCAGGGCTGGGTGCACAGGGATTCAGCCCCTGGTCGTCACAGCACCCAGCCCACACGAACTACGAGTTCGGCGGCTCCCAGTGCTGGAGCGTCCAGTGCGTCTTCTGCGCGTTCGGGGGCTCCGAGGGCTGGGGCTTGCAGTGCGTCTTCCAGTGCGAGTCCGAGTTCGGCGACGGCACCCGGCGAGGAGGTCGCTGGGGCTGCTGCTGGGGCTGGTGGTCGGTCCCCGGGCGTTGCGTTTGAACTTGCAGGAGAAGGAAGAGGTGGGGGAGGTCCAGGAGTCGTTCTGGGCCATGGTCGTCTCTCAGGTCTCTCAGGTCAGGATGATGCTGATGACGCAGCTGGCGTGGCCCCCTGTGCGATGGGCCGCCGTCTTGGCGGCAGAGGTGGCTACGCGTACCCCCTGGACCGTGACGCCGTGACGCTTGGCGGGCCCCGGGACCGTGACGCCAGCCTGGCCTGCCACGCCCAATGTGGTGACGTTAACCCGGCCGGCCACACCAGGGAACAACCAGTTCGTGGAGCTGGTCAGGGACATCCACCTGGCGGCGCTGGGCGTGGCGCTCCCGAGGAAGTTGGCGGAATTATGCCGGGGACATCTGCGTCGCCGGTGCCTTGCCACGGCGCGGCCGCCGGCTCCCAGGGCGCCGAGGAGCAGCCCGTTGCCAGAAGTTGCCCGGCGAACGTGGCCGAAACTCGGGCCAAGAGCATCTACATGAGGAACATGTCACAGTGGGGTCCCAGCGCCAAGGAGTTGTTGCAGCGCAACTATGATGCCCTGGTCATCCTGGAGGCGCACATACCACTGGAGGAGTCGACCCCGCTGCTGCAAGCTTAGGACAAGGCAGGGTACAAGTGCATGGCAGCACAGGCGGGCCCTGATCCCTCGCAGAAGGCAAAGAACGCTGGCGGCGTGGCGATGGGGGTCAGAAAGCAACACGCCAGCTGGCCGCTCCGGCACTTGGCCGCGAACATCCACCAACTTCCGGGGTTCAGGGAAGAGGAGAATGGCAAGCAGGAGCCGCGGGCGTCGGGCATCACCTTCCGCGATCTGGCCGCGATGCAGTGGATGCTCGGCAGTGGCCAGCACCTCACCATCGTGGGCAGCTACCTGTTCAGCTCCCTGGGCTTGGTCGGGCCGAACATCACCAAGCTCAGGAACATGGCCGCGATGGTGGCCACCTTGGACACGCCGTGGGTCGTGGTCGGGGACTGGAACGTGGCACCGTCCGCCCTCAAGAAGGCGGGCTGGCTCAACCTCATGCAGGGCACCATCGTCGTGGCGGACAACGTGGAGTGCACTTTCACTGGCGGTGGCCACGGGCCCCTCCTGGACTACATGGTCTGCTCCGAGAGCGCGCTGCCTCTTGTCTCGAGCCTGGTGGCGGACGCTGCGCCAGTGGGCCAGGGCGGCAGGGCGCACTATGGGCTCCACCTCACGGTCTCCATGGAGGTGAAACCGGCATGGGGTCGCTCGCTGGGCCTGCCGAGGGCGTTCACCCAGCCGTCGCTGCCCAAGACGCGGCCCGACCCTGACAGCAAAAGGTCCCGACAGGCCGCGCTCCGCATCGCCCAGGAGCCCGATGGCCCACCACCGAGATTGTTCAAAGAGGCCACAGGCGCTAGGAGGCGGCTGGTCCTCAAGGGTCCCACTCCCCTATGCATGCTGGGACCCTTGGATGTCCTGGAAGAGCCCTCGGAGGACGAGCTCGACGACTACCCCGAGCCCGAGGAAGATCCCCGAGTTTCTGCCGACGCCGAGCCGTCGCCCGTGACCGACGGGGCAGACCGCCGTGCAGGGGGGGAAATCCGGTTTTTTTCAGGGAATTCCCGGACTTGCCTGCCGGTTGGAATGGCCGCCGACCGCGAGAGGAAGGGCGAGCCTCCGCCAGGCTGGTCGGAGGAGGAACGCGAGCAGCTATGGCTCGCCAGCCGCCCCTCCAGGGATCCCGCTTGGAGTGATCCTGGGGGTCTGGTGCCTGCCTCCGCGGCTTTCCAACTCACGGCTGCGGAGTCCACGGTCCTGGGAGTGGAGTACGGCGCCTGGGTCACGACCCTCGAGCGCTACAACGGTAAGCTCCTGGGGGACCTCGAGATGGGCAGCGGCGCGGCCGGCCACTAGGGGCGCGGCAGGGCCCTCTCCCTCCGCCGCGTCCGCGTGCCCCCGCCGAAGGCCATGACGCGGACGAGGGACCCCGCCGTCGACTGGTGGGCTAAGACGAGCTTCCTCCTGGACGAGTTGGCGCGTAGCATGAGCTTCCGTGAAGGGATGCGCTTTCGAAGCATCTGCGAGCGGCTGGTGCAGGCGGCTGGCGACATCCCCTCGTCCACGATTGCCGCGCTTCCGAGGCGCGAGCGGTGCGCGTGGTGTCGCAAGCTACGGCTGCTGGGCTCGGCGACCAACGAGACTTTGAAGGCGTACAGGGCTGCGGCCAACCGCGCGGCGGCTTCCCTGCAGCGGGCCGAATGCCATGCGGCCTACGACTCGTTCTCGGAGTGGGCGGCGATCCAGTTCGTGAGCTCGCCGGGGAAGGTCTTCCGCCTCAGCAAGGACCCCCCCAAGTTCGTCGACGAATTTCGGCTGCGGGGCTGCTCCTCGGTGGACCCCCTCACGGCGATGGCGCATCGCGCGCACGCGTGGCAGACGAAATGGAGCGGCTCGCGCGCGTCGCCGGACAGGATCCGCTTCCTCCTGGAGGCTGTGAGGACCAAGGCCAGGGAGCAGCCGATGGAGCCCTTCACGGTCGATCTCCTCCAGGTCGGCATCCAGCGCATGAGGGGCAGCGCGGCCAAGGGGGTCGAGCAGCTGGGCAAGCGGGACCTGCAATGGTTGCCGCCGTCGGGCCTCCAGCTCACCGACCTGTGCCAACATATCGAGGAGCAGATGGCATGGCCGTGGCAGCTGCTCATGGTGCTGGTCACGCTGACGCGGAAGGCCTCTGGGGACGATAGGGCCATCGGCGTGGTCTCCATCTTGGCCAGGCTGTGGTCGAGCTGCCGCGGCCAGGAGCGAGCCGCATGGACGCGGGAGAAAGCTGGCTGGTGGGATGCCGCCGTGGCGAGATCATCGGCCCTGAGGGAAGCACTCCTGCGGTGCTACATGGACGAGACGGTGAGCCTTTCTTCGACCAAAGGGTGGATCCAGGCCAGCGTGCTCTGGGACATCGAGGGGTTCTACGATGCCCTGCAGTGGGATCTGCTTCTTGAGAAGGGCCT